CCGCCTGGCCCTGCCCCCTGCCCCCCTGTGCGCCTGCCCAGCTGTGCGGGAAGCCCTCCTTCCCGCCTTCTGCCCGGCCTGGAATTTTCTGTGACTCCTCCCTCAGTTGTCCTTGGCCTCTTGGTGGTGACCTGGAGGCCACCGGCCTGCTTGCTCCTCGCCATGGGCTTGGTCCTGCTGGCTTCTGGAGCTGAACGCCATGAGCTCACTTTGACCGGTTTTTGAGTTGTTAGAATCAGATCTTAGGGCCGGGGAGATGGCTCAGTGGAATAAGCGCTTCCCTGGCAAGCGCAGGGGCCTGAGTTCAATCCCCGGTTCCACCAAAAAAGAAAAAAAAATCGGATCGCACACTTCATGGTCAGAGAATATGCGGGCTTTTCTATTTAATCTCTTAAACAATGGTGATTTCATGATGTTAAATTTATGCTTTAATTAGAATAAAATTTCTAAGTACAAAGAAAACATGCAAATGTAACTTGCTTTTTTTTTTCTTTCTTGAAAGAAGCAGCCTAGACTGGCACTTCCTCAGCTATCACTGTGAAGCTAAGTTAGGACCCACATCTGTGACATAAGTGGTCTTTTTATTGGTACGTGTTTCGGTACATGATGTGCTCATCTTGAGAGGTAGGTGGGTACATGCACGTACCTTGTTTTCAGCCTCTTTACTCCCCATCTTTAGAGCTCCGTACTGTTCCTCTTCTTTGGCATCTCATAAGGAGAAGCCGTGGGATAGTTCAGCTGTGTCTAACGTATTTCGCTAAGCACTAGTTTATCCGTTCTCCTGTTAAGAAAATTATTTTTTATTTATTTATTTTTTTAATGGAACCGGGGATTGAACTCAGGCCCTTGCGCTTGGCAGGCAAGCACTTATCCTACTGAGCCATCTCCCCTGTTGATGAACATACAGGCCATTTTCAATACTGAGCTGTTGTGCTGCTGCAAACATGGGTGTGTGTGGATCGCCATAATATCTTTAACTCTTAGGAGTATATCAAGGGGAAAAGCTGGGTCACATGGGCTTTGAATTTTTAATATTTTTGAGGAATCCATGTTAATTAAAAAAAATTGCGTATTTGGCACAGGGTCTCACTATGCAGCTCGAACTTGTAGTGATCCTCCTGTTTTGAGTCCCCAGTGCTGGGATTACAGGGTGCGTCACCACGCGGTACTAGGTCGCAGGCTCAGTGTGCCTCGGGGTGGGGCTGGTGTGACGTGCGCCCCGAGGTCCCTGCACTTGACGAAGCCTGTGACCACTGAGCCCGCTGAGCTATCTTGCCGGCCCTGTGGAATCCATACTGATTTCCATAGTGGTTGTACCAGTGTACACCCCCGCTAACAGTGTAGGAGGGCGCTTTGCCCGAAGCCTTCCAACTTTTTTTTTTTAGTATTGATGATAGCTATTTTCCCTGCAGTAAAATAGAATCTCAGTTTTGTTTTAATTTGCATTTATCTAATGATGTCGAATATTTTTCATGTATTTATTGGCTATTTGTATTCTGAGATGTGTTTATTCCTTTCAGTTGCCCCCCGCCCTTTTTTTTTGTGTGTGTGTCTTTTTTTGCTTTGGGAAGGGTCTTTAAAAAATTATTTATACGTTCTAGGTCCTCTGTCTTAAGGCTTGCTAGGTAAAAACGTGCCTGCAGGTTGTTGCTTCATTCTATTGGTTTCCTTTGCTATGAAGATTTTAAACTTGATATAATCCAATTTGTTGATTCTTCGTACTACTCCCTGTGCCGCTGGGGTTCGTTTCAGAAAGTCTGCAGCTACCCCAGTGCCGGCCACCCTTTTCCAGCTATCCGTGGTAAGCAGCCGGCCGTGGCGTGTGCGCCGCCGAGGCATTGCCCCTGCCTGTACCTGTGCCGCGGGAGCGTCTCCTGTTGTGTCCTCGCTGTCTCTGCTTAGTCTTTACGTTCTTGATCCATTTAGATGTCTAGTGTGGTGAGAGAGATGGATTTCGATTCAGTCTTCTGCATGTGTGCGACCACTTTTTCCCAGCATAATTTGTTGGTGGCCTTTTCTCCAGCGGATGTTTTTGGCCCCTTTGTCAATGCTTAGATGGCTGGGGTTGTTTCTGGCCCCTGGGTCCTGTCCCACTGAGCCACGTGTCATGCCGTGCTGTTTTTATCACTGTAGCTTTGCGGCAAAACTTGAAATCTGGGCTACTTCTTTGGTTTTGCTGCCCAGGACTGATTTTGTTATTCTGGGATTCTCCAGGTTGTGTAAATTTTAGCATTATGTTTTTCTAGCTTTGCGAAGAATGCTTTGGCATTTGGATTGGGATTGCATTAAATTGATGTCAGTTTTGGTAACGCGGCATTTCTGACAGTATTCGTTCTGCCCGTACAAGAACAGGGTATGTCTTTTCCATTTTCTGGTGTCCTCCTCCTCGCTCTCCCTTCTCAAAGTACTACAGTTTTAATTATGGAGGTCTTTTACTTCCTTCATTAATTAGATACTTAGGTATTTGCTTTTTGGAAGCCATTGTATAGTATTGTTTTATTTTTTTTATCAATTTGTTCATTGTTGGTGAGTAAGAATGCCGTTTATTTTTGCGTGTTGATTCTATGTCTTGGTACCTTGCCAAATGTATTAGTTCTAGAAGGTTTCGTGGAATTTTTGCGCCTTCTGTGTTCAAGTTCATGTCATCTGCAAATAATGCTAGTTTGACTTTTTCCTATGTGTGCTAACGTTTCGAGTACAGTAAATTTCCAACTTATAAATGGGCTCCTTTCTGAGGGAATTGTTTCTAAGTCAGTAATTCGTTAGCTGACAAAGTGAGTTTTATGCAGCGCACCTGTGAAAGTTTGCAAGTCGATGTAGGAAGTTGGGGACTGACTTTACGGTATTGAAGAGAGTGGTGAGAATGGACAGCCTGTCCTTGTTCTGAATGTGGGAGGGAAACTTTCAGTTTTTCCTCATTTAGTATGATGTTCGCATCCGTTTGCCATAAATTGCTTTCACCAGATGAAAATAAGGTCTTTCTATGTAGATTTTCTTCAGGGTTTAAAAAAAAATCATAAATGGATGTTTGATTTTGTCAAAGGCTTTTTCTTTCTTTTTTTTTTTCTATTTAATAAAGATCTTTTATTGTCTCATTAAAATATCAGATTAGCTTTACAATCCAGAAGCTTGTTTCTGCGGCTGGATTAACTCTTGGATCTTACTCATCTGGCTGCTGAACTGTTCCCTTTTCAGAAACATAGATACCATCCAAAAATTTTCTGATATCCTTGTTTTTGACTGTTGTGGCTTGCTGAATCAAAGCAGCTGAATTTGAAACAAGCTCAATGTCATTTCCTTCAAGGATTAGTTCATCTTTCTGGGCTTGAGATACTGAGCAAGCAACACCTGCCCTCATACGAACTCGGCGAATGTATTTTTCACCCAAGAAATTCCGAATTTCAACGAGAGACCCATTCTCCTGAATAACGACGTTGATGGGGAAGTGAGCGCACACAGACCTCATCTTGTAACGGAAGCCCAGTGTAACCCCCTTGATCATGTTCTGTACATGGCTACAGATCGTGCGGACAGTTGCCAACTCCTTTCTGATCCTCCACCATTTGTCAACTCGGAGCCTCTTCTTTTTCTTCCCAAGGAGACTGAGTTCCACAT